CACATTATGAATTCATGCTGAACCATAGCCTCAAGCTTAGACAGCTCAAGATACTATCTTTTGGGTGTGACATCAGCCCTCAAATTCCACATGTGTAGTCATTTTAAATACATTGGGCATCATGGGACAACATGAACCAGAAAAAAGATGAAAAAAAAAGTACACTGGGCAAGTAATGTTATCCTCTAGTCCAACTGAAGGTCTTCATTTTTGTTAGCTGTGTTTTCCCTGAAAGTTCAAACTAGGTCTTCTGGAAGTTTGTATGTCCTCTTTGAAACTCCAAAATGTCCTGTGGTCAGGTTTGTTAAGTTCCTCTAGAGGCGACAAGCATTGTGCACTCCTAAATCTTAGGTTTGCAGGACACTAGATTGACAATAAGCTTTCACAGTGACTTTCTTTGGCCAGCAGTTTGCAGTGTTCTTCCCAAGGATTCTAACCTGTGCTAACAATGGAGGGAAACCATTTTGGCCGGGCGTAATGGCTCATACCTGTAATTCCAACACTTTGGGAAGCTGAGATGGGAGGATTGCTTGAGCCTAGGAGTTTGGGGCTGCAGTGAGCCAATATGCCACTGTACTTCAGCCTGGGTGATAGAGCAAGACCCTGTCTCAGAAAAGAAAAAGAGAGAGAGGCAGAGAGAAACAGTTTCAAGAAAGATGACTCACTCTTTCAAATAGTACACATGAAATAATTGGACACCATAGAAGTTAGTGATTAAGTGGGGACTTGGCCCAAGGTAGGTAAGCAATGCCAAGTATTGTTACTACTATAGGTTGCAGAGGGAGACTGTTAGGTCACTCCCCACCCCAGCCCCTTGCTGTGATCTCAGACCAGTCTCTAGAAGAGTTTTGGGATTCTAGTTCAGAGAAACAGCTTGAACAAAAAGAGGTGTACACAAATGTATTATAAGCCAGGACCACTGAAGAGACCCATCTGTCTAAAGGGAAGGGACATATTTGTGTTAGGAAAGAATAGGAAATAAAGTTGGCTCTCTATAGCAGGGCCTGATTATTTAGGAGAGTTTGGACATGGTGTGTAACTGGCAGATAGCTGGAATGGCCCACAGTGGTAGCCAAGGTAGACTGAAGAGGAAAGAGACTGAGATCGAAGAGTCCTGCTGATGTAACAGAGCGCTAATCCAGATGTAGGTTTTGAGGGCCTGGTCCAGAATGGTAACAGTGGGACTGTAGAAAGGACAGGTTCATTTTTGAAACAGTGGCTGGATTTGGTGACTTTTGATTGGATATAAAGGACGACACATGAGATATGAGGACCATTTTGAACTGGTCCACCATGTTGGATGGTAGCCTCAAGAGTTGAGGACCGAGGAGTTTGTTTTAGGATCACTTAGTGGTGATACATTTTGTTGTTAATTTGTTTGTTGCTCAACAAACTAGAAGTCACTTCCAGAGACCTCTTTAAACATTCCATCCTAGGAATTCATGGGCTAGTAAATGACTGTTGATGAGAGCCTGAGAATTCTAGGGAAAGCCATGCCTGTTTCCAAGATGGCCCCAGTGTTTTGTTTTATTTTGTTTTGTTTTGTTTTGAGACAGAGTTGCTCTCTTGTCGCCCAGGCTGGAGTGCAATGGCATGATCTCAGCTCACTGCAACCTCTGCCTCCTGGGTTCAAGCGATTCTCCTGCCTTAGCCTCCCGAGTAGGTGGATTCACAGGTGCCTGCCGCCACACCTGGCTAATTTTTTTTTTTTTTTTTTTTTTTTTTTTTTTGAGATGGAGGCTCACTCTGTCACCCAGGCTCGAGTGCAGTGGTGCATTGTCGGCTCACTGCAACCTCCGCCTCCCAGGTTCAAGCAGTTCCCCTGCCTTAGCCTCTCAGGTAGCTGGAATTGCAGGTGCGCACCACCACGCCCAGCTAATTTTTGTATTTTTAATAGAGACGGGGTTTCACCATGTTAGCCGGGCTAGTCTCAAACTCCTGGCCTCAAGTAATCTACCTGCCTTGGCCTCCCAAAGTGATGGGATTACAGGCGTGAGCCATCGTGCCTGGTTAGTTTTTGTATTTTTAGTAGAGACGGGGTTTCACCATGTTGGCCAGGCTGGTCTCTAACTCCTGACCTCAGGTGATCCACCTACCTTGGCTTCTCAAAGTGCTGGGATTACAGGTGTGAGTCACCACACCTGACCTGTTTTGTTTTGTTTTTGAGACGGGGTATCGCTCTGTCACCCAGGCTGGAGTGCAGTGGTGCAATCTCGGCTCACCTCAACCTCTGCCTCCCAGGCTCAAGCAGTCCTCCCACCTCAGTCTTGTGAATAGTTGGGAGCAGTGGTGCTTACTTAGGCAATGTGATTTTGGATAAATGGTCTAGCTCATTTGTGCCTCATTCTCCTAAACTACAAAATATGTGAGTCTTAACAGTATTTAAATCATGATCATTATCGGATTTTTTTTTTCTCAGCACAAATAACAGTGATAATTCTGGGATTTCAATGAGTTAATGCACTTAGAACAATGCACTATAAGTGTTAACCGTTAATGTTATTAATGTACTAAGCACTACATTTTAACTATTAATATTATTGCTACTCTTTTTAAGTGAAAACTGAAAAAAATAAAACAGGAGCATGTATCTTTTGCTCAGGGCATGTGAAGGAATGGCTTTGTATCTTCTGAGAAGATGTATCTTAGCTCAGTATCATAGAAAGGAGTCAGACCCTACTGACACCAAACTATTGCAAACAGACGATTGGCTGGGTTGCTCTCAGAATTTCTGGTCCTTCCCCAAGAGTGCTTCAGTTTTTGCTATATTCTATGCAGGTGATTTTCTATGATAGCGACTGGAACCCCACTGTGGACCAGCAGGCCATGGACAGGGCCCACCGCTTGGGGCAGACAAAGCAGGTTACCGTGTACCGGCTCATCTGTAAAGGCACCATTGAAGAACGCATTCTGCAAAGAGCCAAGGAGAAGAGTGAGGTAAGCACAAGGGAAAGAAATTCCTGCCCTGATGGAGCAAACAGAAAGTCTGACCACATCGACTGGATTGAGACTATTTAAAACTCTATTGCCTTTCATTGGTCCTGATGAAACTACAATTTCTTCTGAATAGAAAATAAAATCAGGTCCCATGCAATAGCAATCTTGACTTCCCTGGCCATGCCTCATTCCCTTTCCCCCAGAATGGTTTCCATAGCCTGGATCCAGCTGTTGTTCATGTGGAGACTGACACCAGTAATGGCCTCTCGCATTCAGAGGAAGAAGGATTGACATTTTTGAGCTCTTATCCTAATACTCTCAGCTTATCTGCCTCTGAATTGTATGCCAAATTTGTTAGTTTCCAAAGAAATTATTATTTTTTGGTTTTTTCCATCCTGATTCAGTACTATTAGATTTTCTAGTTAGCAGTTACAAGCAAAGAAGTTATCATTTTCCTTCTGTCAGACAAATAATCTGGATGAGCCAATCAAATGAACTGAAATGAAAAGGGGAAAGAAGAAATAGGAAACCAGAGGCCTCACTTGAGGAGTGGGTTGAGAACGATGTGTGTCTTTTTCTGGATATTTGCCATAAGGGAATGGATGCCTGGAGGTGACATTTTGATCTGCTTTGGTGTAGATTCAGCGGATGGTGATTTCAGGTGGGAACTTCAAACCAGATACCTTGAAACCCAAAGAGGTGGTTAGTCTTCTTCTAGACGACGAAGAGTTGGAGAAGAAACGTATGTACTCTAAACCTCTAGACACTCCCCTCACGTATCTGAGAATGGAAGAGGTACTTGGCTGTGTGCCAAGGGTAGGCAAAGCCAAAGGCTATATTTAGAGAAAATATTTTTGTGCTCCTATTTTATATAAAAACCCAAACAAGATTGTGTTCTGGGCCGGGCATGGTGGCTCATGCCTATAATCCCAGCACTTTGGGAGGCCAAGGTGGGCAGATCACCTGAGGTCAGGAGTTTGAGACCAGCCTGGCCAACATTGTGAAATCCTGCCTACACTAAAAATACAAAAAATTAGTTGGGCATGGTGGTGGGCGCCTATAATCCCAGCACTTTGGGAGGCCAAGGCAGGAGAATTACTTGAACCCAGGAGGCGGAGGTTGCAGTGAGCCAAGATCGTGCCATTGCACTCCAGCCTGGGCAACAAGAGCAAGATTCCATCTCGAAGAAAAAAGAATGCGTTGTGGAGTAGAGGGCAAAATTTGTGTGTATTTTAAAGGTAAATGTGGCTTCAAATAATGTAGCTTGCACAAGGAAGGCACCTGACTTATTAGCAGTAATGAATTTGCTCTTCTGCCCAGAAAAATGTTTTTATGGAAAAGTTGGAGAAGAACGCAGCTCTAACCATACAAACCCTCCTCCCATGTGTTTTCTGGCTTTTGAGAGCATTGGGTTTCAGATTAATCCTGTGAGAATTTGAAGCCTTCCACAGCATTACAGCAGAAAATAAGTTCACATTTGCCAGCACCTTCTAAAACCTTTCAGAACTCTACAGCCATGCTCAATCTGTGCAAAGCAGAGATATTAAAAGGCTGAAATGAAAAAGGGAAAAAGAATAATGTGAGGAAAGGCCTATAATAATTTTTTTTTTTCAAGACAGAGTTTTGTGTGTTGCCCAGGCTGGAGTGCAGTGGCGCAATCTTGGCTCACCACAACCTCCACTTCCTGGGCTCAGGCAATCCTCCCGACTCAGCCTCTGGGGTAGCTGAGACCCACACACATACCACTGTGCCTGGCTAATTTTTGTATTTTTATAGAGATGGGATTTTACCATGTTGGCCAGGCTGGTCTCAAACTCCTGGGCTTGAGCAGTCACCCCGCCCCAGCCTCCCAAAGTGGTAGCTAGGATTACAGACATGAGTCACCACACTGAGCCAGCCCATAATACTTAAATACAGTGTGATTTAAACCCAAAGCTGAGAATCCAAGTTAGAAAACCACTGGTTATCTGCCTTAAACAGATAGAAGTGATACCTTGGAAAATAAACATCAGGGGATATGGCCACCTTAATTTTAAGAAAGTGAGGATTATGATTACTACAGGTACTTCATCAGGTCTTCATTTATCTTCTTGATAGTGAGGCTGCGGCAGGAAGAGAAACGGCAACAGGAGGAAACCAACCGAGTGAAAGAGCGCAAGCGGAAGCGGGAAAAGTATGCAGAGAAGGTATCTCCAGCCTGGAATGGTGGATAGGGGCTAATGGGGCCTAGGGTGCTTACCAAAAAGGCTTTGGGGTACATAGCTTCTCATCTTGGTTACTGGTTGGTATCCAGCTTCAGCTGTGTATGATCAGCCACATTTCTGGGCTGACTCATGTTTTACTCAGGAGAAATGTGGCCTTGGTAGATCTGTAGTCCCCACACAAACTCACACTTACAGTGGTCACAGTTTAATTATGGAAACCATTTGTCAGGGCTATTAGAAAGCGTGTAAGGCTAAAAGGTGACTAAGATCAGCATTACTTACTTATATTATTAGGCTCCGTAGAATCTTAGAAAGGGCCTAAGAGGTCATGAGATCCATAACGTACCAGAATTCTGCTTGTGTACCACTCAGTGTCATCTGTCACTAGAAAAATAAACACCCGGCTTAGAAATAAGAAATAAGAAACAAGAATAAGAAATGTCCATTCATCTCTTTTTCTCCAGTTCACACCAAGGATTTGAACTGTCTTAAAAATTGTTCTTAAAAAGAAAAACAGATATGTAGAAACTACATTGAAAACATTGGTCCTCTCTTTTGTGAGACTGCATTCAGTCAGCCCCAATAAGTGCTGGATGTGCCAGCGGCTGGTGAGGCTCTTCGTGCCATGAGGATCAGAGTTGGTGTGGCTCTGGTTCAGTGTGACTGCCCCAACTTTAAACTCTATTATTATGGCAGATATTCATAAGCTTTTTTTTTTTTTTCTTTTGAGCCGGGGTCCAGTTTCTGGGCTCAAGCAATCCTCCCACCTCAGCCTCCTAAGTAGCTGGAATTAATAGGCATGTGCCACAGTACTCGCCTGAAATACACATAGACTCCTATTAAACCATCCCTTCTTCCTTATGCAGTTTTTCTTCCTTAAAAGTATGCTGATTGAGAAGTTATAAACTAAAGAAGAAAAGCTCTATTACCCTTTTCATCCCAAATCCTGCTTTTCTTTTGGGGTGCATCCTCACACGTTTTCCATATTTATCTGTGGTTCCCAGAAGAAAAAGGAAGATGAATTGGATGGGAAAAGGAGAAAAGAGGGTGTGAACCTGGTGATCCCATTTGTTCCCTCGGCTGATAACTCCAACCTCTCTGCTGACGGAGATGACTCCTTCATTAGCGTGGACTCAGCCATGCCAAGCCCTTTCAGTGAGGTGAGGCTCCTTTTAGATGCCTGCATCACAGCAGTAAGGAGTGTCCTGACCGTGTAGCAGGGACACACTGCTGGGCAGTCTTTGCTTCTCCTGGAGTTCTCCAGCCTTGTTGAAGTAGGTTGCACATGAGTTCTGTAAGGAGAAAAACAAATGAGGACAGGTTGGTTTCTCAGAAGCCAAAGCAGCCTCAGCTGTGAAGCATGTTCCTAGCTGGGTGCAAGGCCCTGGGCAGTGAGCACAGGGAGTAGTAATGATCTTAACCCTTCCTTTTCTAGATCTCCATCAGCAGTGAGCTGCACACTGGCTCCATTCCTTTGGACGAGAGCAGCAGTGACATGCTGGTCATTGTGGATGACCCAGCCTCCTCAGCCCCTCAGTCTCGAGCTACCAACTCTCCCGCATCCATAACAGGCTCCGTCTCAGACACCGTGAATGGTAATGCTGCTGTCTTGTACAGCTTGGGTCTGGTCCATTGCCCAGCACTGGTTTGGTTGTGGGTAAGGTCCTGATTCCTTCTAAGATAATGGTATTTTTATTCTTTCAATTGCTTTGTCAAGTAAAACGAAGAAACAAAAGGTTTAGGGAAAGCAAAATAAGAACTTTATAAAGATTTAAAACTTGGTTTTTTTTAGTCATCCCTGTCTTTCAGATTCACCATTATTTTTGCTAGTTTTTAATTAATGTTAGCTTTTCTGGGCCTTTCCTCACTTTATTGTGTGGGGCCCAGTGTTGCTGCCATTTCTTGGGGAGCTCTGGGTTCAAAACTCGAGGGTAAAATTTGACTCTCCAAGGCAGATGAGTCCCAGGTAGCAAGTCGCTTCCCTTTGTAATGGACAAATTTAAAGAGGAAACTCACAAATAATGTAACTACTCTTCAGCATGAAAAGCAGCTTGAGGAGTTAGGATGTTTTCATTGTTTAGAATTCTTAGTATTCTGTGTGACTCTGATCTAGCCATTATTAATTGGAGATATAGACCTCCTCATGGGTCCTAAAACAAACACCCCAAGAGCCCGCTTTCCCTGTCAGGAGAAGATTATGTTAACATCTTGGAGAGATTCACTTTTTTTTTTTTTTTCCCTTTTGGCCCATTTGTTCCCACAGGAATTTCCATTCAGGAAATGCCAGCTGCAGGACGTGGTCACTCAGCCCGAAGCCGAGGCCGCCCCAAAGGTTCAGGAAGCACAGCCAAAGGAGCAGGGAAGGGCCGGAGCCGAAAGTCCACAGCAGGCAGCGCTGCTGCAATGGCAGGAGCCAAAGCCGGGGCTGCAGCGGCCTCTGCGGCTGCCTATGCTGCATACGGGTACAATGTGTCTAAAGGTACAGAAGCCCAGGGTGGCTGCAGATTTGTTCTGTTCAGAGACAGTCTAGACATTCTGTCAGGTAGAACATGTAGGAAACCCCCAGGCCGGGAGCCTTCTTCCTAGAGCCCCAAGTGGGGTTCTGCTTCTTTGTAATAAGCACTGTTGACTCACCCCTTGCCCTCCTGATGGTACAGGGCTGCCTTTGGATTGGAAGTAGCTGTAGAAAGAGAGAACTGAATTGTGGACTGTACTACTATAAACATTCTGAATTTTTCTTGATTTGGGGAACTGATTTGTTTTCTTCCTAGGCTTTTATTTCTGAGATCCACACTTTAGTGATCCAAATTAGCATAGTTAACATTCATTCAGCTATGTGATTTATCACCTAGATATGAGGCACCTGCTGTGTGCATAGGCGTATACCACATGGGCCGTGCACAGTGGCTCACGCCTGTAATCCCAGCACTTTGGGAGACTGAGACAGGCAGATCACTTGAGGCCAGAAGTTCGAGACCAACCTGGCCAACATGATGAAACCCTGTCTCTACCAAAAAAACACAAAAAATTAGCTGAGTGTGGTGGCCTGTAGTCCCAGCTACTTGGGAGGCTGAGGCACGAGAATTGACTGAACCCTGGAGGCGGAGGTTGCAGTGAGCCAAGATCACGTCACTGCACTCCAACCTGGGTGATAGAGCAAGACTCTCAAAAAAAAAAAATGTAAAAAGGAGTGTTCCACATGGACCTTGCTTCTGAGTGTATAATGGCAATGAGAAGGGGAAGCCATACACGCAATATGCTTAATAGCAATCCACAGCCAAATACAGGTGAATGAAAAGAGGAAAGCAGCCATGGTGGTTATAGGTCAGGAGAGGGAACCGTGGACCTGCTGATAAGTTGCCTGTCTGTATTCAAAAGGGAGGAGAAGAATGAAGGATTTGGACTGGTGACCGAGAGCTGGCAGTGGCCAAGGCATATTGGGGGTCACTGAGCAGGTTAGGTTCCACTGAAGAGGAGCAGTGGGAGTCAAGTTTGGAAACACATGGTGAGGCCTGCTGGGCAGGAGCTTAGCAGATGTGTGACAAGGGGCTGCAGACAGTTTGAGAAAACAAGTGGCTGTTGTGACCGTGTTATGTGAAGGATGATTGTAGCTATAAAGTACAGGACATTTGAGTGTGGTGAGAAAGAGAGAGCCACTTACAGACCTTTCTTCCCATTCAATACACGGGCTTAGTATTAGCTCATAGGATTGTTGTGGCAAGTAAAGGCATACTTGTATAGAAAGCGCTTGGAGTGTAGTAATTGCTCAGTAATTGTTAGTTTACTTGCCTTTTCTCCTACTGCAGGAATCTCAGCTTTCATTTATTGGTTCTTCCAGGAAATATGAAGTATGATAGAGGAAATATGAAGTATAATAGCCTCGCCCAGTGTTTCTTAACCCTTGCCAACGTATCACGTCCTTGGAAAACAACAATCATGCCAGTAGTCAAGGCTCCTGTGGCAGGGTCTCACCCATGGCTGGGGCATTGCATATGTTCATAGGGTTTCTCCTCAGAACCTGCACAGAGCAGAGGGCAGGAAGGGTAAGGGAGACAGAGGGGGTAGAGCAGCACAAGAAAAACCAACAGTGCTTGGCAACTGGAAATGGAAATCAGGGGAAAGGAGTGGTTCAGACAGTGCCTGCAGTTCCACTGTGGATGAGGAGAGAGATATGTCTGCCCATGAAGCACTTAGAATTCTTTTTTGGAAAGTAAAACCAGTACATATGAAACAATTGAAGAATCATATTAGACAGTGTGTTATCACATATAAGTGGATTTGGCTCATATAGGAAAAAGGGAAGTTCACCGTTACCCAGGGAGTCATCACTGGAGATGGGGGATTTGAGCTGTGCCCTTGAAGTGACACAGGCCTTGGAGAGCAGGGGTGGCCATTGCCAGCGCAAGGAGAACTGTATGAGTATAGACACAGGATAGAGAGTGGGCAGCCTTGTACCCTCTGGCCCAACTTACTAGAGAGTAAGAGGAGCATGAAATTGAGAAGGAAACATCTTATCACACGTGGTGTCCCAAGAAAGAAGAAAAGAAAAACCTGTTTGTGCCATTACAGCTCTCATCCTGTAACCTTGGTGTTTCAGACTGTAAAATGTGTGCTCTATCTAGAGTGTCATGATGAACATTTTACCATCTGTGGATGAAGTAGTATGGAGAGGGTTGAGTAGTGTCATTTTCTCTTAAAAATCTATCCCTCTTACCGAAAAGACAGTTGGCAGGAAGAGCAAGCAAACATGCAAGAAGCAGTTAGCAAGGAGTTGCAGGGAGGAATTGCCACCACTTCTCCAGCTCAGACTCGTAACCAAGGCCACAGGCTCCAAGGAAGCTCACATGGGACTGGTGCTTACGTTCTTGTCTCTCTCTCCCCCCGCACAGGAATCTCCGCCAGCAGTCCTCTGCAGACATCCCTTGTTCGACCTGCTGGCCTTGCTGACTTTGGACCTTCAAGCGCCTCCTCTCCTTTGAGTTCCCCTTTGAGCAAGGGAAATAATGTTCCTGGGACTCCCAAGAACTTCCACATGACCAGCAGCCTAGCCCCAGACTCTCTGGTCCGGAAACAGGGCAAAGGCACCAACCCCTCTGGAGGACGGTAACCATCTGGGCCCTCCAGCTTCCTTCAACCAAACCAGGGCTAGAGTCCTGACCTGCCAGTGGTCTTTGGATGGCTTGCCCCATGCAGCATCTTCCATCCTGAGTCAGAAGCGGAAGTGTCCAGCAAGGGAAGAACAGGCAGGTGGATGGTGTGAGCACTTTTATCATCTGTGTCTCATCAGGAGCATCTGGGGTGCCTATAGAAGGAAGGCACAGGGCAGGGATCAGCTCCACTGCATCTCAAGTGAACTGCATAGCCAAGTCTTAAACCTCTCACGGGGCAAGCCTGACATAGACCCCCTGTAGATGCTCAGGCACACTGTTTCCATCCCCATTCCACTCTTCGGCTCTGACACGTCCCTTGCAAAGTCTCCGCAGGTGCTGTGAAGAGCCTTCCATGGTGGAGATTTCTCTTACAATTGTGATTTCTCGTAGGGCTAGTAAGGGAGGAGATTGTGTACCTGTTGTCCACAGTCTTCAGGCAGCTCCCCAGGTCTCTGAACCCCATTTGCCAGAGTGTCATCATTAAAGAGAGCAGTGACTGCAAGAGATGGTGGAGGCTGCTAAGCATGACAGAGGCTAGAGAAAGTATCCACAGGCAGTTGTGTTCCCAGCAGTTCCTCCCCTGTCCTGCATGGTTCACACCAAGAGAACCTTCAGATCCCACCAGCAACAGTAGCACCTTCCACCCAGGGGACTCACAGAAGCCAGTAAAGAGACCAGGAGCCACCTCAATCAGCAGGACAGCCTCACTGCCCCTCTCGCAGACTCCCCTTTGCCTGTCCTGAATGCACAGTCTCCCTGCTCATCCCCTTCAGCCCCCTGCTTGGCTGTATGCACTGTCTATATTGCACTGAGAGAGGAAGGGACAGCAGGAATGAGGTGGGGAGGGCGGAGGGAGGGGGCAGGCTCGGCACCGGCCCTCGCAGCCCCAGCCCGGCCAGCCTGAGCTTGCTGCCCTCGGCAGAGACAGAGGCAGCGTTTGCATGGGAGGTGTTTCTGCCTGCCCTGCCTGATGTCCCTGGTGGAGCAGGTGCCTCCGGGCGGGCAAGCCTCTAATTTGCACACCTGAAAATCGCGGAATTGAGTTTAGATAGATTGATTTTTAAAACTTTTTTTTGGAGTAGGGGGCATAGGGGAATCATTTAATTTAAATCATTAAGATTCCCCTGCTCAAACCCAGACTCCTGTGTACAGATGCTATTTAGAGGGAATCAGAAAAATGCCAAGCCTTTTTTCTCTTTGAATGTGCTGTCTATTTTTATAACTGAACTTGTACATATGTATAAAGAGAGACACATCTTCCTTTTACTAACTGGATAAAAAAATCTTAAATAAAATGGAGTGAGATAATTTTATGTAAATGTTGGTGTCTGTGGTCTTTGCAGCTGCCTCTCCTCAGAAGCAAACTAGAGCCCTT